CCTGTTGGATCGGTGAGGGCGGCCAGACCTGGCTCTGCATGGGGGCTTCAGGGCTGGAGAAGGGTGCCTGTGGGATAGCCTGTGTCTCCGGCCCTGTTGCCTCCTCCTGGAAACGGGTGCCACGCTGCACTTGTGGAAAGCGTAATGTGTGTGGAGGCCTGTGAGGGGTGGGCAGGGTCTGCGTGTATGACCGGGGAGGGGTTAGTATGTGCACATGCGTGTGCTGTGCTTGCCTGAGTGCAGGGGCGCGTGTTCAGCATAGCTCTGGGGGCACGTGCACGCAGGTACGGCCTGTCTTCGTGTGGCAGGTTTGTGTGTCTGTATGGGGGGGGGGGTATGTGGCACATGTGCTTGGCTTGTGAGTGTGCACGTGCATGGATGACATTTTGCACACCTGTGTGTAGTCCCTGTGCGGACGCATGCACACATCTAAACGTGTGGCCTGCAGATAAGGTAGATGGCACAAATCAGGCCCGAGCACGGGGCAAGGATCTGTGCCTGTGTGTGAAGGCCCTGCGCTCTCTGCTCCAGGCTACACGAGGAGGAGAAGACGGGGACCAGGATCTGCCAAAAGCTCAAGCAGTCCAGCTTGCCCTCCCCACCGGAGGAGCCCCCCAGCCCAAGTCCCACCTCGGTGGAGAAGATGTTCGGAGGCAAGATTGTTACTCGGATACGCTGCCTCCACTGCCTCAACGTCTCCTCCAGGGAAGAGGCCTTCACGGACCTCTCTCTCGCTTTCCCCCCCACCGACCGCTGTCGCCGCCGCCGCCTGGGCTCAGTGATGCTCCCTGCAGAGGACGTAGGGGTCGGGGACCCCCCGTCACCATCCCAAGCCCAGGTTCCAAGCAGGGTGGGTTCTCGGAGGCAGAGGAAACATTGTGTCATGGGGGACGCCCCCACTGCCGTCCTGGACATTGAAGGTCTGGGCCCCCAGGGACCTGGGGGGCCGATCAGTGGGGAGGAGAAGGTGGATAGGGAGGAGGAAGTGGAGGAGGAAGCTCGGGAGGAGGAGAGGCCCCGAGAGCAGGAGGAGGAGGAAGAGAAAGAGAAGGAGGCGGTGGCAGAGGAGGAAGAGAAGGCTGAGAAGGAGAAGGAGGCAGAGACCGCAAAGGAGAAGGAAGAGGACGGCACGGGGCCAGGGAGCCAGAGGGGCGCCGCCGGGGAGGGCTCCCGGTCCGTCCTGGACCTGGTCAACTACTTCCTGTCCCCCGAGCGGCTGACGGCGGAGAACCGCTACTACTGCGAGCCTTGTGCCTCGCTGCAGGACGCCGAGAAGGCAGTGGAGCTGAGCCAGGGGCCGCGCTACCTCATCCTGACCCTGCTGCGCTTCTCCTTTGACTTGCGCTCCATGCGCCGCCGCAAGATCCTGGACGACGTCTCCATCCCCTTGCTGCTCCGCCTGCCTCTGGCCGGGGGCTGCGGCCAGGCCTACGACCTCTGCAGTGTCGTCGTGCACTCGGGAGTGTCCTCGGAGAGCGGCCACTACTACTGCTATGCCCGCGAGGGCGCTGCCCGCCCGGCCCCCTCTTTGGGCGCTGCGGACAGGCCCGAGCCCGAGAACCAGTGGTACCTGTTCAACGACACTCGGGTGTCCTTCTCTTCCTTCGAGTCCGTCAGTAATGTCACCTCCTTCTTCCCCAAGGACACAGCCTACGTGCTCTTTTACCGGCAGCGGCCTGGGGAGGGGCCTGAGACGGAGCCGAGCTCTCCCAGAGGTCGGGCAGAGCCCACGCTCCACAAAGACTTGATGGAGGCCATTTCCAAAGACAACATCCTTTACCTGCAGGTGAGCAGGCCCTCCTGGGCTGGGGCTGAGCTCCTGGGTGGAGGGCTTCCCACACAACCAGCAGCTCGGATGCGTTATTGCTCCCCTGTGTCCTCCTTTTCTTTTTAATGTTTGAGAGAGAGAAAGCACACGTTGGGCGGTGGGGGGGAAGGCCAGAGAGAGAATCCCAAGTAGGCTGCACCTCACATTGAGATCATGACCTGAACCCACATCGAGAGTCAGAAGCTCAACCAATTGAGCCACACAGACGCCCCCATCTCTTTTTTTCATGTTTATTTTGAGAGAGAGAAAGCTTGCATGAGGGGAAGGGTGGAGAGAATTCCAAGCAGGTTCCACAGGGGGCTCCAGCTCACTGTGAGATCATGACCTGAGCCACCCAGGTGTCCCATCTCCTTTTTCTGCTGTCCTTTCATCAGCTACTTTGTGCTGGGAATATGTTGGTGGACTAGACAGACATAATCCTTAACTTCAGAGGAACAGACTTTCCATTATTTGTTAACATTTGTCTCGTGTACCTAAAGGAGCAACACGGGGTTTTGTGAATGAAGAGTTGAGGCTTCCAGGGGTACCCAGGGGCCACCCTGCCCCAAACCTCTTCTCATGTGCCATCTACTCCCCTCTTTGGAGTCAGGGGCAGTATCAGAATACTTAGCAGCTGGAACAGCAGAGTAGTCGCACCAGGACCCGTGGACATTAAGTGCCAGGTAGTCGGTGTTTTGAGTGGGGATAGCAGGCCTGATTGTACATTTCTGCTGGGCTGTCAGAGGCAGGGCCAGCGGTAAGGAGTCTCCGTGAGGCTGGCCTCAGTTCAGCCTGAGGAAGACGTGTCTCACCGGTGAGTTTGTTCTTAATGCCTTGAGAGGCAGTGAGCTGGACAGTTGCATCAGGAAACCTGTGGAGAGGTCCCTGTGTGCTGTGACCTGATCTTTCAGTCCCTGGACCCTCCTCCCTGGTGCCATGTCGGGCCCTTGTTGGTTATTCATAGTCTTGTATGAATGCGTTTCTTTTATAAAACCGAGGGGCTGAGAGATTTTACTGGGAGAAGGAGGAAGGGTTTTGAAGCTGAGATACAGGGTAGAAGGATGGATCCTCTCCAACCCATCCTCCCACTGGGCTGGAACACTCCTTGGGCAGAAGCTGTGGCCCCAGGGGCCGCGGGAGACACTCAGAGATGCTGTGCTGGACAGCAGTAGGGCAGGGAGTAAGGGGAAGACTCTGGCTTCAGAGCCTGAATGTTAAGCCTCCCCCGCCCCATCTGTGTTTCCAGGAGCAGGAGAAGGAGGCACGGAGCAGGGCGGCATACATCTCTGCACTCCCAGCATCTCCGCACTGGGGGAGGGGCTTCGATGAAGACAAGGATGAGGACGAAGGCTCTCCTGGAGGCTGCAATCCTGCAGGTGGCAATGGCGGGGACTTCCACAGACTGGTCTTCTAATGTGGACTCTTCCCCAGCCTGAAACCTCAGGGGAGGCCTTGACCCCTTCCCTCTGGGAACTGGGTGGGGACAGAGGCGCTCTGCCAGGTGGGGTCTGAGGAGGCGGGAGAGGTGGAGAGGAAGCTTCTGGGACACCGGTCCTCAGCCTGAAGGGTCTGCAGAGACTCGGATATGGAGGTGAGCCCCAAGCCCCTGACACTGGGATCAGCCCCTTTAAGATTTTACACCCAAGTGTCCTGGTCAACTTGAAGCAGCTTCGATGGACACTGTCTGGGCCTTGTCCCCCCTGTCTCCCCAGCAGGGCTGAACTCCACAGCTCTAGTGTTTTGGCATCAAGTAGCATTTCCCTTCTAGCTCCTTTCAGACAATCCTATTGCTCTCTACTACAAAAAGCAGAGCAGCATGTGGGGACCTGTGTGTCACAGCAGTGGCCACCTTCTTGTTTCTCTGAGGGGGGTTTCAGAGGCACTGTGTGTGGTTGCCTGCACCCGTTGTACTGTTTTGAGAGGAGTGGAGGTGGGAAGCAGCCTGGCACAGGATCAGAGACGGTCTCCCTCCACACCAAACAGTGGTGCGTAGAGGGGAGGACAGTCCCCTCGTCACAGCGGGAGACCCTTACTCCCCAGTCCCCCTCCCCCCTAGCCTGCCTCAGTGCCTGAGATGCCACCTTTTGCATCCCCTTTCTGGTGAAGATAGAGAATCCTTATTTTACTGCAAATGTGTTTGTGTTGCTCGCGAAGCCATTGTCCGTCCTGAGGAAAGCTGGCTGGCTCAGCTCCTCATCAGTTGGCTGGGGGCTGGTGGGGGTGGTTTGGTAGAGGAGCAGATATTGACCTCATTGTGCCCTGACACTGCTGTACCCTTCTAAATGGAGAGGAGAGACTCAGGGTCTCAAACAGGAATAAAAATAGGTTCTCTGAAGCCTTCAGAGATGTCATTCTTCCTGCCTCAGTGGCTGTGATGTCTGCCATGCCCTTAGGTTCTTGCTGTGTCTGGGCAGTAGTGACATGCCATGGGAGGTGAACGCACGCTTTTAAGTCAAAGGTGAGGACTCTGCCCAGAGGGCAGAGCTGGGTGGGACCGGTGGTGGGGGGCATACTCGGGTGCGGGCAGAAGGGAGAACACGTTCAGTATCCTGAGAGGCAGGACAGGTGCCCAGGCTGGGGGCTGCCCTATGGGATACTGTCCAAGGGACTCACCTCTCAGGTGAAGCCAAAGCCTGCCCCGAACTGGCTAGTGCTGTTACCTCCTTCCTTTGAGTACTTGGGGCCAGTGTGTGGCCCCTCTTGGGACACATCTGGGCCCGGAAAGGTGGGAGGCAGCTCCCTGGGCCTGCACCCAGGTCCTTCCCCAGATACCATCTCATTCTTGGAGCTGGAAAGGCGTGCATGAGTTCTTTCCACCAACGCTGCCCGTCGTCGTTGAGAGGGCAGAGAAGGGAGGGAGGCAGTGGTGTGGCCAGGGGCTTAGGCCTGTGCTGAGGTGCTGGAGGTGGAAATGTCACAGACCCTGGAGCTGGTGGACTAGAAGCCGGACCCATAGTCTGTCAGAGACCAAGTCACTCTCAGAATTCCTCTCTACGCTCTGTGCACCATTTTGTACATCAGGAATACAAATTCCAAGGTAAGGAGGATTCGTTCTTGTTCCCAGTCAGGACAGGTGCCCAGTTACTTACTATGAAAGGGAGCAAACTGGTGCCCACTGGAGCACCCAGGCTGGGTGTGAGTGTGTGTGGACTCCATCCCCTTCAGATGAGGCAAGCTCCAGCAGCGGTCTCCATTTGCTTCTAATGGACTTTATTGTTGTCCTGCTCCAACACCACAGTAAAAAGGGACCTGCAAGCTCCAGGCCTGTACCATGTGTCACCACAGCAAAAACAGGACCCACTGGAACACACTCCCACCCCACCCCTACTCACAGAGGATAAATACATGTTACAAATTTTTTTTTTTAAAGAAAACAGAATAAATTAATAACTTAAGTGATTAGGCACCAACAGTGATTTGAAAAATTAAATGTCAATTTTAAATGGTCTAACAGGGCAAGAACCTAAGACTGGGCTGCCAGCCCATTTTCTCTTCCCAACAAATAGACAATTCTGTGCGACATGATTCTAAATTTCAAGACACGTGTAACCAACACACAAGAATACACACCACCAACTATCACATGACATCCTGAATCTCCAGGGGGCCCCTCAGGCCATCCAGGGAGCTTGGGGAGCTCCAGAATGCAGGCTCTCCAGAGAAGAAGGAGCTTCAGAGCTTACATGCCCAGCCTCGCTTCCCTCTTTGTAGACCAAGTGCTAACTTGCCTCCACCCTGTCCTCTGGAGTCCAGAGCTCTGTCAAAAGGGGGTCAGGGGGAGAGACTGGTCAGCCAGGGCTTGGGGCCAAGGCTGTAGCCCTGCAGCAGATAAAGGGGCCAGAGGGCAGGCTGGAGTGGAGCCCTTGCTCCACTCGCTCCAGAATAGTTGTGCTTCTCTCCTAGGAACAGGGCATAGCTGAAGGGTTTCCAATGTAGAGGTCACTGAAGTCCATCTCGGGGAGGGGGCTGGGTTAACTGATGAATACTTGGGTGCTGCCCCTCCCCGGTGAGCCAGACCCTGGGAAAGATGTTCCAGAGCAGGGAGTTTTCCCTTGGCACAGCTCAGCGTGGAAGGGCCTCAGGGGCTAATCTAACACCCTTTCAAAGATGGTGGCCCCTTCACACCCGGCTTTTTTTGCCCATTGCTCTGCAACCCTCCTTCCCACTCTGCTTGTTCCTGCTCCAGTTGAACTCTGCAGAGGTGGAGCCCCGGGCCCAAGGAGTCCTCGTGGGAGCTGTGCCAGCTGGGAAGGCATCCCCAACCTGGGGTCTATCCTTGCCAGGCCACCAGGGAGAGGGCCATTGATCAGCTTTTTAAACAGAACTGACAGATGTATACTGGTCACCTGACAGTTTGAAGCCTGTCAGCTGGAGTCTCCACCTTCAACAGGCCCATTTCCCCTTATGCTTCCTGCCCTCCTCCCCCACTTCCAGCCCAAGGGTCTGGGAGGTACAGGAACGAAGAGCCCGAACGAGGCCTCCTTGGACATCAGACCTGAACACCTCCGTTTCTAAAGACTGCAGCCAATTTCACTCACATTGTGGTACGTTCTAAAAGTGCTGACATTATTAGGGCATCCTGGGGCTAAGGGGGAGCACCATTAAATGCTCTGCCCTAGGAGACTCTTTGGAGAGGGCCTTACAGGACACGGTATAGGTCACTGCCACCAGCCCCAGGGCTTGGGAAGGATTGGACCCATACTCCCAAAGGCTTTCCAAGCTTTTTTCCTTCTTCCTCCATTGGACCCCCCAGCCCTGCCCTCCCCTAGAAAACTCCATCTTTGGCACCCCCTTTTCCTAGATACCACCTCCTCCGGCCTGCTCTGCACCAACCTCCTGAAGAAGTAGCCTTGTTGCCTGTGCTCTCCATCAATATTTCCAGTCTCTCACAGCCGTTACCAATGTCCAGTGCCCTCCTGCCACCCCTGCCTTCTCAAGCGCACCAACTGATTAATCCCGGTGTTTCCAGAACCTGGCCCCAGCAGGCATTACGAAATGCAGCTGAGTTAGGAGACGGGCTACTGTTGAGAAAATAATTTCTGCCAGGTCAGAGCTTCTTAGAGAAGGGCCAGGTGTGGGCTCGCAAGGGCTGATAGGTGACCGGTAGCCACCTCCATGAGGCAGGGTGGGAAGTCTTTTATTTTTTTCCCAAAGGAAGAAGGTCTCTTCATCCATGGTTGGACGAAACATCTGATCTGCCCAGTTACTCTGCAACTCTGGAAGATTTGGGTCCCTCCTCCCCAGCTTGCCAGAAAGTACCTGGGGGTGAGGTCCTGCCTCCTGTACCCTGCAGGGTCAGGTCTGAGTCCAGTGTGGCACTGGGCTAGCAGGGAGCGACAGCTGTTAAGACGAACCGGGCAAGCACTATGGGCTCCCGGAACCACACTCGTACCTCCATTGGGCCCTGGCACGAGCCCCTGCTCTCCTACCCATCCTTGGGGACACCACTCTCCCCTGCCTGCTTTCCCCGCTGCCCTCGGTCTGCCCTGCACACGTGGCTCCTTCGCTTTCTGCTCCTCTCTCCATCCCCAGGCACTGTCCACCTCCACCATCCTTACCCTGCCTCCCATCTGTCAGTCATCTGCCCACCCCCACCGCCTGTCTTGCACAAACTCACTTGCTGCACCCTCCCCACTACGGTATACGGCCCTAAAGCACCTCCAGTCCACCCCACGCTCCATCCCGACCCTGCATCACTTGCCTCCCCCCACTGCACACCCAGCACCGTCGAAGCCTCCTCTAGCGGGTACGCCCAGGGAAGAGGGCCTGTAAGCTCCACAGTCCTGGGGGTCCTGACTCCACAGGGTCCTTGTCACCCCCTGCCCCTTGTTTCTGGTTGCCTGTCCTCCGTTTTCCTTCCTTTGGTCCTCATTCTTCTGGCTCTCCCAACTTACAACAGCTACAAAGTTAGGAGGCCCCTGCCCATATCAACTGCCTTCTGCACCTGGGATCTCATTCCTCTGTCCCTCAAGACCACCTCTAACCTTCCTTCTCAACTCCATCTTTTGGTGGCCTTGCCTCTCCCCTACCAAGAAAGACAAGGATGAAGAAGTCCATGTCCACTTTGGTCTGCTGGTCCTGGGCTCCTTGGACCAGCGAGATGACGTGGCATCTTGTGGGACTTAAGGAGAGGTAGCCCAGTAGCTGGAGGGAAGAGGGCTTGAGGGCCAAGACCGTATGTGAGGTGTGGAATCTGGCTCAGAGCCCCAGCCCCTCCCAACGCCTAGTAGGTATTTAGGTCTAAAGGACAGAAAGAGGCTGAAGGATGCTTTTTGGCAATAGCTCTAACTAAGGTGGGTAGAGGATGGCCATTACTGGTAAAAATCAAAGGTGGGCCCTGAGTGGGCAGAGTAGTGCCTTGATCAGGCCCTCACCTCCCAGGAGAAGGGTTCAGGGTCCCTGACATCAAGTGCTTTGAAGGCCAGAGTGGAGGGGACAACTGGAGAGAAGGGGGCGGGGGCAGAAGGGGGAGGAGCCAGCTCCGGTGACTCTACCTCCAGGCGCCTCCCCAGACTTGGTGGCCCCTGTGTCACAGCTTGGTGCCCTTGGAAGGCTCCGAGGACTGCCTCACGTCCGTCCACTCCTGCATGGTGCTCTGCAGAGCCTGGGTCTTCTCCTTGTCCACCTGAACGTAGTCTACCTTCTCATCGGAAGTCACAGAGGACGTGGACGGCTGAGGACAGAATGGGAAGTGCTGTGAGCTGTCAGTAAGGGGGCTCTTTGTGAGCTGCCTCAAAGGGAGAAGGGATGGGCCTCTGCCTGCCACCCTGACTGGCCTCAGGAGCCTGTATTCTCTTTCTGAAACTGGCCTTTTAAGCCCAAACTGCATCATCGCTCCTGCTCATGTAACAGCCTCTTGTCAGCGCTCCTGATTTCCCAACTCCTAGGGGTCCCAGGTCTTCCATCTCTGCCTCCACCCACCTCCCTGTGGCCACTCATCCAGAAAGAATTTGCTGGGTGCCAACAAGCAGCAGCCAGCGGGGAGCTCTCACAGCCACCCAGCCGTCTGGACCCGGCAGCTAAGTAGGCTTCCTGTGGAGGGCTTTCCGGGGCCCAGGCATCCCCTCCGCAGGTCCCCGTATCAGAAGCACTTAGTTGATGCACCTAGACAGTGAGTTTTCAAAGAGGAGCTCAGGACCAGGACACAAGATCCCATTCCGTCACCCTGAGCAGCTCCTGTGTCCTGGTGTGGGTCCATTTGCTCAGCTGTACAAGGGGGATGGACTGGCTGAAATGGTCCTAGGGACTTCAAGCAGCCATGTGTGTGAGAGAGGAGGCATGTGAGCCCTCTAAGACCCAGACTAAACGAAAAGCGGTAGAGTAGCCGGCAGCCGGGCACTCCACCACTCCCACCGAGCCCCGTACCTTGCGGTGGGGGCTGGGGGAGCTTGGCTGGAAGTCCAGGGCCAGATAGTCAACGCTGCCCGTGCTCTTCTTAGGGGCCGGACTGCTGGTGCCGCTGGGGATGGGAGACGCAGACACTGGGTTTTGCTATCACAAAGGAAGGAAAAACCATCAGTCAGTTGAGGAGACAGAGTAACCCACCACCTGGGAATACACACATCTCTGGGAGAGAGGAGAGTGCCCGCTTGGAGTCATGCACCAGGGCCAGGGACTTCTCATGTTCTCATTTAAGCCCTCACCGCAATCCTGTGATGTAGGTATTATTACTATTGTTTATTTAAAGCAAAGATAAAGCTGTGGTTCAGAGAAGCAAAGTGACTTGCCTACGGTCGTACAGTTCATGAGCAGGGATGGGAGCCGGGTCTGTTTTTAACTCCCAAACCTGTGTTGCTCCCACTGTGCCAGGCCACCTCCCTTCTGGGCCGTCGGGCCAGATCTCCTCAGGTTCCCTGACCGCCCTGGCCTTGGCTTGCTGGCCCCTAAGAAGGGGCACATTTCCTTTATGCCCTGCAGGTTGGAAAGTCTTCTGTTGTACCAAACCTGCTTCGCTGAAGCTCCTCTCCCTGGCCTGGCGTGGGGCCGTCACCCGAAAGCAGCTCACTCCCACCAGATCTGAGCAGGGCGGCTTCAGCCCTGGGCTGCACAAGTGATACGCTCTAGGCTCCTGTCTCCATCAAGACCAACTTGTCTACGATTTTCCTGAAGTCATATTCTAATGAGAATGGCAAAAGTCCTGTGTTCTGTTTTTGGCTGCTTACTGTTTGGTTGATTCGTTTTTTCATTATTCATGCAGCAACTCCCAGGTGCGGGGCAGCCATTCCCTCTTCAGTGAAAATCTCAGGGAGGAAACTTCTCCTGTGCTGCCTGTGTTTATACCTCTACCGTGGCCTTCACCACCGTGAGTCATGTTATGTGTGTTTGGCCACCCCTGAGGAGATAACTCAATAAATGCTTATGTTCAGGGCGCCTGGGTGGCCCTGTCGGTTAAGTGTCCGACTTTGGCTCAGGTCATGATCTCGTGGTCGGTGAGTTCCAGCCCCACGTCGGGCTCTGTGCTGACAGTTCAGAGCCTGCTTCAGATTCTGTGTCTCCCTCTCTCTCTGCCCCTCCCTCTCAAAAATAAAGTGAAAAAAAATTTTTAAAAATGCTTATGCTCACATTCTTGCTCATGTTTGTGACAACAGCACAAAGATTTTAACAGGAAAGAAAGAAGTCAACTTTAAAGGATGCTCTAGTTATTCTCTACATGCTCCCTATGACTATTCTGAAGCCCCTTTCTAATCGCCTGGATTGCTAAACCTTCTGGGGCTCCCTGTGCCCCACAGGAAAGTCCGGACCTCCCAAGACAGCATTCAGGGTCCTTCATGATCTGGGTTCAGCACAGCCTCCACTTGTAGCCATAGTTAACGGTTATTCTCTGTGTTCCCTCCTTCTACACGGCCGCCTTCCCTCTCCCCAGCTCGATAGGACTGCCCATCCCACAATTGTGTCCCCACAGCACTGGCTCTCCAGGAATACTGACCATGCCACCCATGTCACAGTCATGAGTGGCAGACCTTCCCAGCCCTTTAAAACCATGGCCTCCTGGAGGGCAGAGACCGTGTCTTCCTTGCCTCTATCATTACCCCAAAGTGCTCTACACACTTGTGCTCAAGAATTGCAGCAGCAAAGTAATCACAAATCATGGGTAACTGAGGTGGTCCCAGGATAGTCTGAGGGCGGCACTCCTGCAGACCGCAGAGGACGTACCATAGGGACGTAGTTCTCTTCGCTGTCTCCGGAGTCCGTGCTGGTGATGCTCTGGGTGGAGATGGGGCGGCAGTACTGGGAGGAGCTGGAGTTGAAGGTGTGACTGGGTAGGGAGAAGACAGAGTAAACTCAGGGGGACAGTTCTGTCTCCACCCTCGCAGCTCCACCCTCCAGTATCACATTCAGATCTGATACAGAACAGGTACAATCACTCCCCCTCCACAGATGAGGAAACCCAGCCCTGAGAGACCAAGAGACTGCTCAGCTACCGCCAGCATCAGCATCGGGATGCAGCTCTCTGGACCCCACCTTGCCCTGGCCAGCCCTCACAGCCCTGTTCCCAGGTCCCACATCCACAAACAGATAACTCACACGGCCCTCGACCAAGACTTGGTGACAGGTGACTTGAAGGGGAGCTCATCGATGACAGTGTTGTTTCTCAGGTCAAGTGGTGTTGGCTTTGCTGGAGCAGGAACAGAAAGTCAAATGATCAGCCACACGACAATGCCACACATACACACGCTTACGTATAACACACAAGTATATTTATAAATACTTTCGTATTCCCACTTGTAAGCAGGGAAACTGAAGCTCAGCAGGTTCTATAATCTTTGCCTATGTTGACAGGCCCTGAAGCCATGTCTTTAGATCCCAAATGATATTTTCTCTGCACTGTAGCAATATTTTCAGAATCCAAAACGGGGACACTGGGTCTGACAACAGATTGTTCCTCCCAGATTTAATACTCATCCCGTATCCTCCAACAGCATCTCATACTTTATAAGGCACTTTTAGGTATGTTACCTGTGTCCCTCAGTGCTCTAGGAGGCAAGTATTCACATTTCTCAAGTGAGAAGGCTCAGAGATGCACAATGATTTGCTTCTAACCCCATGTTGGCAGGTGGCAGAACTGCAACCCGAATGTGTCCTGTCCTGCTCATGCCTGCACTCCTGCCCAGGCTACTCCAGTAGCTGGTCCCTAGACCACTGGAATGAATTTGAGTGTTTGTGTATGTGTGTGAGAGTTCGGGGGTTCAGAGACTAAACACTTCCTTGCAAGGAAAGTTCAGGATCCACCGGATCCCCAAATGAATGCAAATGAGTGAAAATGGTTCTTGGACACTGTCCAGACATGGGACAGGGGAAAGAGGAGACTTACCTTTCCGGTCAGGTTTGAGGTTGCGGTTGACAGGGGGTGGCTGGATCTCACTCCCTCGGCTGGGGCCCCGGTGCAGAGAAATGGCTGTTGAGGGGTAGCCAAGCGCATCAAAGTGATGGGGTCCTGGGCTCATGGGGATGTAGACACTCTGGGAATTATCACCTGCTCGCTCCATGGCCAGCAGGGTGGAGGAACCTGGATTCATGGGCACGTAGTTGTCCTCAGAATTGGTGCTATCTGATCGGCCTACAACTGTTTTCCCTGGCTAGAGGGAGAGTGGAAGAAACACAGCAGTAACTATCATGAAGAAACAAGAAGGGGTGAGAATTTGTATACAAGGCAAAAGGGAAGTGGTAACTGAGTTAGCTGCCTGGGAAGACCAAGTAGAAAGTGCAGTGGGAGGCAGAAAGAAATCAAGTCTGTGGGTCCCTTCTAGTTTCCATGATCCCTTGTAACCCACTTAAAATTTTCAATAAATCTTTCGAATAAGTACCCTTGGTGGCTGGGTCCACAAGGCTTTCTGGGTGTCTGACCAAGGCTGCGGGTGGCCCAGGCCACTGACCACACAGGTTTGGTCTAGAACCCTTATTCCACCTCAAGTCCAGACTCCCCATTAGCAGGTCAGAGTCTCAAGCCCTAGCAGGGCTAGGAGCATAAAGTAAAGCTTGGCCCTGGCTGGCGAGGTCTCGGCCAGGTGCGCTTCCCTAGTCCAGCTTTCAGTGTGACCGCCGTGTTGCACAATGCAAGAACCCTGGCTATAGCCTTTCTTCAACTCCTGCCCTGTCTGTCCACACATACAACTAAGTTGCTTCTGCTTTAGTTACCCAATGTCTGGTCTTTCCAATGGGCATGAGGTCAGGCCCTAGTCTGTCGGAGAGTCGTGGTCAGCCCTGTCCAGAGGCCAGCCTGGGATCCTGCACTCAAATCATAATTCTGCCACCATGACTGACCGAGCACTGCCCCTACCCGGAGTCTCACACCATAGGCCCTCCTCCAGGTGGGACCTCAGAGCCCAGGTCCTCTGCATTCTAGACCTGTCCTACTTATGGCAGGGCTGGTAGTCTTGTAGTCTAGCACACTTCCACACCAGACACCTGTATCTTACTTTCTAAAAACCCAGGGATCTGAACTGAGGCAAGGAACTAGGCAGGGTCCTATGAGGGAGATGCCACCACTCCCTTGTTCCATGGGGTGTGAACTTTAGCCCAGGTGGGCTGGCCTGAAGACCCCTGGCTGACCCCCACTCACCAGGAAAGAACGGACCGCATCACTCATGGACTCAGCAGACCGGCCTGCACTCTCTCCTCCTCGCTGGGGGTACTCGTAGGATTCACAGGAAGAAGCTACGAGACAGGAACGAAGATTCACACGCACTCCCAGCTGATCCATGTGCTGACACTTCCCCAAACCCTCACCAGTGTTGCTCAGGGTCTTACTCCAGAAGATACTACCCTCAACCCCAAGTGATAGGGTATTACTTCCATCATGTCATTCCTCAGTTCAAAAATTCCTCCCAGACTTCTAGATCTAGCTCCAGTGTTGGCACCAACAGAGGATCCTTTCTGAACTACTTCTTCCTACAGGTATGCGCCTCTCCTTTAACTCCTATACCACCGAATGCCTGTCCCACTCCCTCAGGTCATTCATTACTCGTACAGATACTACAGGAATAAGGATACTTGACTAATTTTTATGTGCTTTTATTTCCCCAACTAGATGTGAGCTCTCTGAAGGGTAGGGACATGTTTTATACACATATGTATCATTTCAATTCCAAAGCCCAAGGTGATTGATTGAATAGTTGACAGACTGAAAGAGTACTGTGCCGAGACTCAGGACCCCGGGTTCAAGTCCCACTTCTGGCACTGATGGACTCTGCAACCCTGAATAAGTCTCTTAACTACCACAGGCCTCATGGGAAATGGGAGACTATGAGGCTTTGTCCCACCAAACTCTCAGGCTCACTATGTGGCTTCAGCAACAGGGTGGGTAAGAGCAGACTTTGCAAGCTATCCAGCAAGATGAAAATGAAAGATTAATATTACGGTAGTTTTCCATCAAACAGAGGTGGCTTATGCAGAGCTGGAACGTGCTCAGGGGGAGTCAGTGACAAGAAAATGTATATGCTTCAGAGAGACGTTCAGACTTTAACCAAAGAAATTCAAGTATGGCTTAGAAAATATTTAATAGCTCAAAATTTGTTTTAATAGTCTGTTAGCCCACATAGGTTTGGCTCCAGTTTGAAATGGTCCTCTAAATTTATTTGTTCAGTCTTTGGTTTTATATAAAAATGAATCAAATACTGTGATTTGGACTTTGAAACCCACAATAACTTATGCTGCGGTTAACCAAGAATGTTCCATCTCCTTCAGTACAATAGTAACTTCTCTCAGAGTCGGCCACACTCCTGCACTGCAGAGTCTCCTACTAGCCTCCGGCGCTGGGGCACCAGCTGGGAAGGGTCTGGGTACAAGACGCCTGAACCTGTGGTGGGCCTAGGTCTCCTCAGTATGGATGACCAAAGGCTAGCACGTTACTGAGAACTGCCACGCTCCCTCCCTTTAACCAGGGTCGCAGCTGGGGTTTACACCAACCTCGGTGGAGCCGACTGCTGTCCATCGCCGGGAGGGTATTGCGCCTGGGGATGGTGGCAGCGGCAGAGACGGATCTGCTGCTTTCACTGATTGGAGGTCTCTGCTGAGGACTGCCCCATCGAGGTGTTTCTGCCTGACTCGGCTTGGGGGGCCGGGGTGGGGGAGCTATGGCCGAATCCCCAGGAGTGGCCACTGCCATGGCATTGTGGTTCTTGTCCAGCGTGAATGTCCTAGGGATCTGGTAGGCTGAGAGTGGGGTGGCTGGAACGTCCATATTGTCCACCAGGAGGTCCCCAAACTCCCGACATAGAGTGTTGCTGGGTGTCTTGAAGGTGTATATGTCCTCATTATCGGTCTCAGAGCCTGTAAGGCTGCCCTTGGTGTGGCCGTGGGAGGCCAGGCTCCGGGGGAGGTCGTAGGTACTGTCTCTGAATTCTGTATTGTGCCGGCTTGGCTTGGGGAGGCTATAGAAGCCGTGGACTTGACCGCTGACCCCATTGACGCAGTGTCCATTGCCCTGGGCAAGTTTCTGTACAGCTGTGTCGCTCCTCATGAGAAACGAGGCCCTGGTGCCCTGAGAGAAGCTGGCACTCCTAAGAGAGAGAAAAAGGGAAGGGACGGGGCAGGTTAAAGGGGGCCAGGACCATCTACCGGGGACACAAACTGGCTCGTTCAAAGCCCTGTGTGGCTGACTGGTGAGGCAAAACAGGCTCAGGAGGCAGGCTGGTTTCTCTTGATTTACTAGCTGTGTGACTTTGGGCAAGGCACTTTCTCTTTCTGAGCTTTAGTTAATATATCTACAAAAATGATGATTAAAAACATATTTTAGGGGCACCTGAGTGGCTCAGTCAGTTAAGCTTCAGACTTCAGCTCAGGTCATGATCTTATGGTTTGTGAGTTTGAGCCCCACATTGGGCTCACTGCTGTCAGCACAGAGCCTGCTTTGGATCCTCTGTCCCTCTCTCTCTCTCTCTGCCCCTCCCCTGCTCATGCATTCTCTTTCTCTCTCAAAAATAAATAAACATTAAGAAAAAAACATACTTTGAAGGCTGTTTAGAAATTCGACTCCAGGGGCGCCTGGGTGGCGCAGTCGGTTAAGCGTCCGACTTCAGCCAGGTCACGATCTCGCGGTCCGTGAGTTCGAGCCCCGCGTCAGGCTCTGGGCTGATGGCTCAGAGCCTGGAGCCTGTTTCCGATTCTGTGTCTCCCTCTCTCTCTGCCCCTCCCCCGTTCATGCTCTCTCTCTGTCCCAAAAATAAATAAACGTTGAAAAAAAAAAATAAAAAAAAAAAAAAAAAAAGAAATTCGACTCCAGTATGTCTAATATATAGATGTTCAATGGTGTTAGCACTTATCCCTCCCTCTACCCCCAGCCGGCTGTGATTAGCCGAGGTCGCTCTTACCCTTCAACCTTCTGGATAGATAAATAAGACAGCTATACCACCGATTTGTTTGCTGCTGTAAGTACCACAGAATACATACATTTGTATACAAAAGCCGTGAGACAGTGGAAAGAAACCGTAAGTTGGCGTCACAAACTAACAAACAAATCACTTATTTTATGTGAGTGTCGGTTTTCCAACGGTCAGCCTTTTGGAGGCTATAAGCTTCTTTAAGAATCTGATTAAAAGTTCTTGGCTCTTCTGGTTGGCTCAGTCGGTTGAGCTTCTGGTTGGCTCAAGTCGGTTCAGGTCATGATCCCAGGGTTTTGGGATTGAGGCTCATGTCAGACTCTACACTGAGCATGGAGCCTGCTTGAGATTCTCTCTTTACCTCTGCCCCTTTCCCTGGCTCACGCTCTAAAATAACGTAAAATAAAGTAAAGTAAATAATAACTAAAAAATGAAAGTTCTTTGCACTTCTTACTTGCATGAGGCAAATCTTGTATACATACAAATATGCACGTTACAGCTGGGGCAGGTGAGGAGCTATAGCCCTCTGAGGCCAATCCATGGAACTCTGCCTTATAGAAGCTCTTTTAGCTCTTGGGGAGCTTGTTATTTATAGATGTGGCCACCAGATGGTGATAGAAAATAGGGCCCAGTAGTTTAGAAAGAGGAAGGCTCACAGGGCTAGTCTAGGCCAGGCTAGGCTCTTGTAAACTTGCATCCTTGACTACTTGGGGAGTTCCATTTCAGTCCCCAACCCTTTAGCGGCCCTCCTCTCTACGCCTCAGGGTTCTTTCTCCTTTCCTATTCCATTTCACACAAATAACCAAGCCAAGGGCCATGGGCCTAGATGACTGAACAACTAGCCTTTAGATAATGGAGGGCTTGGAATAAAGGATGGGGGGGCAATGGTAGATATACGGTTGGATGCCCCCACTGGCACTGGGATCTGTTCATTTAACAAACATTTACTGATGTCCTATTTTCCATCTGGGCTGGGAACAGTAGATACACAGATGCCTCCTGTCCTGGGGGACATAGTGGTAGAGGAGGTGACATACATACAAACTCATTACAATCACGTGGGTGAGCATTCGGCTTTTGGCAGATTTATACTAACCCTCCCTGGCAGTGGTGGTAGAGAATGTCAGGGGAAGCTTCTTTAAAGATCTTACCTTTGAGTGAGTCTCGAAATAGGCCAGGCAAAAAGCAAGAGAAGGAAAAAGGTGTTCTAGTTAGATGCATAAAGAAGTAGAACACAACCTAGCAAGGTAAAGGAACTGCAAGTTGCTCAGGCTGGAACAAGTGTTAGGAGGTAGGGCTGAGCGGTGACGTGGAGGGCCCAGGCTGGGGCTGCTGGGCCCTCCTGGGAGGGCCTCCAGGCTGCTGGGAGCCCCTGGAGGATTTTAAGGTGGGGTGGGAGGTGGGGAGCACATCACACATATCCTGCAGTAACCCTAAAACATTGTTCAATGTTTCACATAATTTTATTCCAACCTTCGCCTTATTCAAGAATGAACTCATCATCTTCTTCCTGTCTGAACAGTCTTAGGAATGCACCACTCACTCAAGCCAGGAACCCAGGAGTTACCCACATTATAATTTCTCACTCGATAACCCTATCAGGTCCTACCGAATCCACCCCAGTTCCGGTCCTCCTGGCTTTTCTTCTGCATAAATGAAAGGGCTAGTAACACATCTATCTCCCTACAGTCTGCCGGGACCTCTCTGATCCTCCCTACATCCTACAGACATTTACTTTCCTGACGTCCCAGCTTACACATTTTCAACACTGTCCCACTGCCTTCAGGACTAAGCCATATTCCAGATCTAATTTACGTCTCTAGTCTCTCCTCCCTGTTTCCCCTCCAAATCTGGAACCACTCAGCTAACTCCCCTTGTTCCTAGTGTGCCCCACGCAGCCAAGCTTCTGGGCTTGTTGTGTTGTTCATGCGGTCTGAAAGGCTTCCCGCTGTAACCCGGCGAGCTCCTGCTCCCATTTATCCCTTAAACTCAGCTCAAATGACACACTTTTTAAAGCTGTTTCTGACCATCCTCTACCTCCAAACATAATCAATCACTTGCTCAACTCTGTTCTTGGAGCAGGTAGCAATTATTATCTGGGTCAGTTACCACTGTACTTGTCCTCTCCACCAGACGGAGATATTTCCTCCAGGAAAGAAACTGTGTCTTAATATTCTTCCTTCCTCGGCCCCTGGATTAGCGCTGTCACAGGGGGAATGATGCATAAATGATTGCTGAATGGACAAGTCAATGAACATATAAGTAAACGAATGAATAAACAAAAGTGTTAGTGCTGCTGGCCCATCTCCTGACCTTGGCCACGCTCTGGATCAGCAGACTGAAAACCTTCCCCTTCAGGATCCACTAGATTATGTCCCAACATCCTGCTGTCCTATCCTCCTCCTCTTCAGTTACTAAGCTCCTCACTTGTCCCTAAACGTGTCCCATGTGGTCTATGCTCCAACCCTGCGCTTGCATTATTTACCTTTCTCTGGAAAGCTTCCTTGATGCATTAGAATTTTACACAAAGTACAAAAAAAAAAAAAAAAAAAAGTGGTTTTGCTCCTCAAAGGTGTGACAGGCCTTCTAATTCTCCTCTTCACTTTAATTACTCCTTCCCCTTTGCTCCCAGCACACGCTGTACTTCTACTAGAGCACTCACTCGCCTCCTGTGAAAGCCGTCTGAGGCCGGGTCTCACCGCTTCCACCTGCCCCTGCGCCCTGGCAGAGTGCCTGACATGTGGCGGATCATGCCAATGCGTGGGGAGGGGACGGTCATTACTTCAAGAGTCAAGTGAAAGGAGTTACATAGGGGAACAAAATTGCCGGAAGCTGCGTGCTAGGACAGCAGAACTGGGTCTGCACCGGCCTGGGTACTCTGCTCAGAGTGATGCCACAGCCTGTCCCCTCTGTCCCCTGCACAGAGCAGGAGGGCACTTCTGAGCACTCGTCCTTTACTAGGCTCATGTCAACCTTCCCCAAGGCCTCTGTCACTGTGGGGTCCTGAGCTGCTTTCCTGGGATGAGCACCTGGAAGCGGTGGGTTTTGGGAGAGGCTTCTCTTGCAGGGCTGTGGGCCGATGGAGGCCTCATAAAAGGAACATCCTCACAGTTCTGACAGACAACTATGACCCTCACATATCACACAAGAGAAACAGTAAATGGCCGAGTTGGGCAGGGAGGTGATGGATGCTTAGGGGAGCAGAGACAAGTTTGAGAAAACATACTCCCTCAAGCCCGCGCTCAGTGCCTCTCACTCCCGTTCCTGCGGCTGTTGGTGGGTGTCGCTATCATCACATTACTTCTTACTCATGCTCTGGTCTTAATACCTACCCCAAACCTCCCCCTTATCTTTTATCAACGGTTTCCTAGTTTTCCTCAGCACTTTATTTTGCAATAGTTCTTTGGCATTTCTCCATATAATTTTATGTACGGCACAACACCATGATTTCACCCTTCTAGACTCCAAGTACCTTAACAATGAAGAGCCCAGTTTGATTTTTAATGGGTATGTTCCCATTTAAGGAAAGCTAATACACAAATGATTGTAAGCAAAATAACCACCATTTAGTTCTGTAACTGTCACTGGCAATCTTAAGAGGTCATGTGGACCATCCTTCTGCATTTACCCGTCCCACATGGGATGTGTGGATCCTTCCAATGAGGGAAGAAAACTCAGAAAACACTGTTTCACAATCTCCAAGAAGTGAGGTGATCTTTGTATCTCAAACCCTCTGGCTGCAGGTTTGAGCCCGCCTTCTCATTGTGGTTACAGAGCAAACTTATATATATAAAACTAAATGAAACTAAAAGTTGTATGTTCTCTGCCTTTAGTCAGTCAAAGCCACCCTCAGGTGAATGAGTCAGAGAAGTCTTAGAAATGATTAACCAAAGGTAAGGTCTTTGGTCAGTGACATTTCTGATTTCACTTTTTTTTTTTTTAATTTTTATTTTAGAGCACACGAATGGGAGAGAGGGGCAGAGGAAGAGAGAGAGAATCTTAAGAAGCAGGCTACCCACTCAATGCAGAGCCTGACACAGGGCTCGATCCCACAACCCTGGGAATTGTGATCTAAGCCAAAATCAAGAGTCAGATGCTCAACCCACTGAGCCACCCAGGCGCCCCTCTGATTTTATTTTTAATCTACCATATTTCTGCAGAATATTGCTGCAGGGTCAGTAACGCTTTCATTCTAGAATCTCATCACTTGAAATTTCTCTTCCCCCCACCCTTGAATTACAGCTTTCTAAGGCATGTGACTCACCGCAATGTATCTCCCGCTACAGGTTGAACAGACTGCTTGAAATAGGAAGACAGCAAAGGTCTAGAATCTGAAATGAGGCCTTTAAAAGGCTGGAGGGCAAAAATAAATCCAGGGACACTAATTGGTGTTCAAAGACTGAAAGGACTCTGCTTTTCTTGATGGTGTCTGTTTAAAACTCCTTCCTTGGCAATAGTTACTACTTCTGAGGAGTTAGTTATTTTTGTTCAGTGCAAGAGCTAGATTTTAGGAACGAAGTCATTTTGGCCAGAATGCATATCCAGTACTTGAAGGAAGACGAGTGAGTAAAACTGAAGTAAACGTCCTGATAAATAATTCATAGTTTTATCTTTTAGGGTGCTTAATTTACTGTAAAACATGTGGAGTTCCCCCATAAATGAAAAAAGGAATAGATAGATGGCTGGTTATTAGCCTCAGTAAATACTGTTTCACTATAATAATCTCAACAGACATATTTATATCTATGCTAGGCAGAGATGAACGAGCTGGTTCTCGCTTACAAGTGCCTGCTTAGAAGTAACCCTATGAGGTTATTTTGGAGATCAAGTGAGGTTACTAATGGGACGGTGGTTTGTAAACTGTAAAGCATTGTTTCTTTTGTCCAGAACACCTAATATGTAATGTGAATGTCAGAAATAGTACATCCACATACTTACCGATACTTGGTATTGTCAGTCTTTTTCATTTTACCCATTCCAGTGGAAATGAAGCAAAATTGCTCGGAGGTTTTAATTCACATTTCCCTGGTGATCCAGCATCCTTCCATTTGCCATTTCTGTATCTTTTTCTATGTGAAGTGTCTATTCAAATCTTTTGCCCATTAAAAAAAAATGGGTTGTCGTAAGTTGTAATAGTTCTTTATATTTTCTAGAAATAAATCCTGTGTCAGATATATTTGTTTCAAATATTTTCTCATGTTTTGTGAATTGACATTTTGTTTTTTAATGGAGTTTTCTGAACAGCAAAAGTTTTAATTGTGATTACACTACTTTATTAATTTATTTTCTTTTATGATTCTTGCCTTTTGTAGTCTATTATAAAAATCTCTGCTTGCCTCAAGATCACAAAGATGTTTTCATGCAGAAATTTCACAGTATCAGATTTTACATTTAGGTCTCTGACACATTTAACTTTTGAGTAGTGTGATATCAATAATTTTTTTAAAAATTCCTATAAGGATATCCAGCTGTTCCAGCACCACTGTTTGAAGAGACTTTCATTTTCCTGGGGTACCTGGGTGGCTCAGTCAGTTAAGCATTTGACTTTTGATTTCAGCTCAGGTCATGGTCTGACGGTTGTGAGATCAAGTCCTGTGTTGGGCTCAGCACGGGGTGTGGAGCCTGCTTGGGATTCTCTCTCTGTCCCTCCTCCACTCATGCATGCACTCTCTCTGAATAAATAAATAATTTTTTCTGTAAAAGAGAAAAGACTTTTCATTTCCCTATTGGCATTTTTGTCAACACAGGCCACCTGTGCGCACACAGGCTTCACGATTCTGTTCTAGTGAGCTTTGTGTGTTTATCTTTGCATCAATACAACACCGTCTTGATAAACATTTGTTTGATGTAAGTCTTGAAGTTAGGGAGTATAAGTCCTCTAATTTTGTTGCTGTTCTTTTAAAAATCATGGTTATTCTAAATTGTTTGTATTTTCATATGAATTTTAAACTTAGCTTAATAATTTCTATGAAAAATCTTACTGGGATTTTTACTTGGACTGCAGTGGAATTACAGATCAATTTGGGAAGATTTGCCATTTTAATAATATTGGGTCTTCCAATTCATAACTACAGTCTATCACTGTCTGTATTTAGGTCTCTAATATCCCACAACAGTGTGTGACAATGATTTCAGTGAAGAGGTCCTGCGTGTCTTTTTTATT